GAACTCTTATGTAGCGTGTTGGAATCATATTTTTAAATAAATAATTATATTTATGCTCTACTTTTGTATCGAGCACTATTTTTTAAAAATAATAACAAAAATACTAAAGAACTTTGAATTATTTACCTAACAAGTTCTTTCCTATTTTCACACATATATATATATATATATATATATATATATAATACTAATAATATATATGGCATGGAGAAAATCTGAATGGCCCTTTCACTACAGAATTAATAATTATTGGATCAAGTTGGCTCCCCATGAAAGATTATTACCTGTAGAGCAACATTTCCATGTAGACCATGATTTTAAAAGCCATGCAAAATTCCCTAAAATTGAAAAAATAGAAATTGACAGAAAAGATAACCTTAGAAAAATACTAGACGAACATGAAAACAAATGGATTTTGTGCCTCAAAACACTTTGTCCAGACAGGTTTAACCACAAATTTCACAACTTAGTTAGAATTAATATATAACCGCATTAATTAAGTCCTACCCACATTTCTCATCCACACAAAGACAGACATGCTTGCAGAGGTGTTGAGGTCTCACACTTATATACACACTCACACAAATATATACACACTCACACAAATATATACACATCACGCACACTCTCAAAGAACTAAAAGATAACGTACACTTAACACACATATCCCATTCCTAGCAACCAATAAAACTGTCAAAATGACCAAGGGGGGGATTCTTAGTCAGAAATCTCTCTAGCCTCTATCTTAAAACCAACTTAAAAGAGGCCGTTTGATCAACACAAGGACTGACCAAAATTAATAATAAAAAAACAAATGAAAACTACAGAAAAAGTTCACTTTTTTCATAAACAGTCATTCACTCCTGTAGTTCACTGCTACTAACATGTAGGTATTTTTTTGTCTTGATGATGGCCGAAACTAGTTGAGGAACCTAATTGAAATAATAAAATAAAAAAATATTAATGTACAACCCAGTGATATATATATATATATATATATATATATAAAACATGCAAAATGTTGTAAATTGCTTTGAAATTAAATTTGCAATAGTGTGGGTTACACCACTTTACTAAAAAAAAAAAAATGTCACTAGTGGACGCTCCTTAAGCTTATAAATAAGTAATGACATTCTCAGTCTATTTTTCTCAGAGATAATAAAATGTAGTTTGCACAAGGTCAATCTGGAAATGTCAAGACCACCCCCACCTGTCCCCTGTTAATAGAACATTCCTACATATGTAATGCTAGAATCTTGACACTGAAATAGAATGACAATTGTGTATATATGTGTCCTTGAATGCATGTATGTGTAATTGCACCTAACCTAAGTTTATTTATATGGGTGTGTTTGTATGAACTAAAATGCTTACACCTGTTTGTGTGTATCTATGTATAGGGGAGTGTTATCCCAAACAAGCACGGAAGAAAATTCTCCCTTTCCACCACACACAAATAAATTAAACACAAATAAGCATAAATAGATCTGCTTTTGAAAAAATAAACCAGTTTGTCTGATGATTGCAAAAGCATGAAACCCAGGGTTACAAACTACTATTCATGCAACTGAATATGTTTTAGCTCTATCCCAGATATTGAGCACTTTCCACTAAGTATGGTGCATATATATATATATATATATATATATATATATATATATATATATATATATACATTGTGTATTTAGGCAGAAATCCTTTCATGCAAGCTTCATTAAATTAGACAGACAAGGTGCTTTGAATAAGTTTTTTTATATAATTTCTCATATGAGCTTATAATTTTTCTCTTTTTAGTAGATAAATCATGCAAAAACTGTCCAAATATTTTATTTTTCCAAGTGCTTTTTGCTATACCTTTAGTCATTATCAAGGAAGAATTATATTTACTGTTAACTGGAAATGGATTGTTGTATGTACATATTTCGTATTATAGAATGTTTTATTTTACACAGTCAAATAAAAATTCTATACTAAATACATACGTGAATAAATATAAATAATATTATTATTTTATTCCTTTTTATTTTTATTTTTGAATTTTTCCTTCTATTTCCTGTGTGAATATCCATCCTTATATTTGTGTGCTCATATATTTGATCATATATATATATATATATATATATATATATATATATATATATATATATATATGTATATGTGTGTGTGTTTCTCTGTATTAGGACAGTTTTCAAATTAAATTTCCCAGTAGGCCCCAAATTGTCCTGTTATTTGAAAATTCCCTTCCCTATCCACCTCTTTATTTGAATTCAGACTTCCATGTATCAAATATGTGTAGCGATCATAGATTCTTCTTACATCAGTGTCGAACTTAACTGATAAATTGGCACTTCACTAAGAATAATAAAATTAATTTTTTCTCCTAGTTTAATTTCTGAATAATTTTGTAATAGTATTAAACTTGATGCTCGGTTAAATTTAGAAATTGTAATTTTTAACTTTTAATTTAATTGTGAAATCAAAACTTTATTTGTTATATTGATTTGTAATTTAATCTTAATTTTAATGCACTAACAGATTTTACTTAGGGTATATTGTCACGTTATTTTGAATTACCATATACTTGTATTCTGATTGGTCATCATAGGTTATGTAATAATGTTTCCCCTACTGATGGGGGGAGGGGGGTCTGGTTGGTTCTTGAAGTCTTAAAACCCTTTATTTTGCAATCAACACCATCCTTAATAAGATACTAGTAGCGTTGAAAGAAAATTGCAATTTTTGTAATGATGTTATAACATGCATATGTTATAATTTTGAAATATATATATATATATACACACGCACATCTCCCTTTCTCTCTCTCTCTCTCTCTCTCTCTCTATATATATATATATATATATATATATATATATATATATATGGATGTGTGTTGTGTTGTAATGGATATTGGCTCAGAATGAGAAATCAGGGAGCTAAGTTCAAATTCCAGTTGAGTTCGTTACATTCACTTACGTGCCAATACCCTTGGGAAAGGTATGAATCTATCTCTTCTCCCCCCAGTTATGGGTTGCATAGTAGAAAAGACTCAGTTCCATAGCCATGGTTGGCAACCAGTCTACCGCAGAAAGAACTAGCAACCTACTGCGGAAAAATTTTCAAATGCTCTCTTGTGCCAGCATGGAAGAGTAGGCTGATAAAATTATTAAAATTAGAATAATATCTCGTGTTTATGAGCAGTCTGTAACAAGTGGAGTAAGCATTTTTTAATAAAAATATATACAGACAAACCTCTCATCAACAGACTAATAGTGGGGGGATGGAGTCTGTTAAAGCGATTGTCCATAGATAGGAAGAGATTATTTTTAAGTTATAAAACTACTATATTAACTACTAATAGTTATGATCATATTGTAAATACTATAAACATGTACTCATCAAATTCAAATTATTCAGTTTCTAGTTTTGAAAAAAGAGTGCCAAGAACTTTTGTACACCTATAACATGACCGCCTGGCTCAATCCTGGGTCCTTCCCAAGCTGGTCAGTACTGTCGCCGGTCAACTGATGGTTATCTGCTGGCTGCCCGTTCCTTCATCTGACCTGCCCCATGTTGTGTTCCTTGATTACAGAGCAATGAAGAACAAATTTTGTCCATACTTGAGCACAGGGTTGAACCATGATGGAACTGTGCTACAAAAGGATGCAGAACGCTTCTGCTGGCGAAAATGAAAATAGCATAACAAAATAACGAAGAAGGTTGCTGGGTTAATTCTTAGTTGGTTTATATTGTCATTGATACAACAAAATTAATCCCTTCCCATTAAACTCTCTATCATGACACTGTGTCTCTTTCTTCTAAAACTTGGAGCATGTTAAAAACAACCACACAACCTGGTCAGTCAGGAATTCTGTTGGCAGCAAGGTGATGTGGGATACAGCAGCTCTTTTGTCTGCTGCTTTCTTGCCTCGTCTGTGTCTCTTGACTCCAACTGCTAGCTTCAACTAAGTGCTCTGTTTATGTGTATTTCACCTGACTACTACTGCACCTCAGGACTCATTAGTATTTATATCAATTAATTATTTTCTCCAGCCTTGAAGAAACAACACTGACCTTCAAATAAAATGATCAGTTATTCAAAACAATACCTTCTCAGACAACAATAATTTTCTGGTAACAAACTTTTGTGTTAAAAAATTATTTGTATTTTTCTGATGTAAAAGAATTTTCACATTTCTCATTCCTCAGGACATATTTTAGACATTATGTCATCAGCTTGGCAATTTATAATACTCAATTCATTTTTTGGATTATAATTACTTAATTATTTTTTCCAATTGTGGAGAAATGACACTGACCTTCAAACAAAATGGTCAGTTATTCAAAATAATACATTCTCCAACAACAACAATTTTTTTCTGATAATAAAATTTTTGTGTTTAAAAATTATTTTTATTTTTCTGATGTCAAAGAATTTTCACATTCCTCATTAAAGTCTAATTTTTTACATTCTGGCTTTGTGGATTCATAACAATTCCATTTTCCCATCAGTTTATCAGGAAAAAAAAATATTTCAATTCATGTTTTCACCTTAACATTTTCAACCCTTCCAATTCTTCAATTCCTATACAGGTTTTTCACATGATACCTTTTAATCCTAACTTCTTACTACCAGTGTCACACACCCTGATTAATAGAATACTTCATTTTCAAAGACTGATGATTATTGAAGTCTCATGGTCAGGATCATAGCTTTTGATCCTTTTTATTGCAACTCTCATACTGTTATTTTATGAATTGGAAATAAATAAAGCTCCAGTAAGATTTGAACTTATGATACTTTGTTTTGCAAAATTGGACCTTCACGCCTGCCAAAAAAACTAAGTATCAAAAGGATGGTTTTTCCATTGACACTGCTATTATTTTACCTATCCCCACTCCTTAGCAATGTTTATAGCTTTAAATTTAGAATAAGGTGAATTTATACATTTTCTTTGTTCTGGAGGATTGACAAAAACAATAAACACTTTATATATTAGATTATTTAAGCATTGGCAACACATCTGCTAATTTTCAATTGATTCAAACTTTATAAAATGGTAAAGAATAAGGATTTCCTTATAGTTGGTTCACATATTTTAATAATTTAGTAAATGTTTATAATTTTATGAATAAAAAATTGTTTTTATATTTATTTCTTTATAAATTGATAAGTAATAAATATTACATTTCATTAGTTTTAATACATTTCTGTTAGTTTTTAGAATGTTTTAAATAAAAAATTATTCTTGTAAATAAACAATCCAATAAATAAATAGTGATTAATATTTTTATTGCAAATTCTCAAGATGTATAAATTTACTTTCATATGTTTAGGTTTTATTACAATTCTGATAATTGCTTTTTAAAACAACAATGCCGAGGAGTGAAGGTAGTTAAAATAATAATGGTATCAATGGATAAAACCATCCTTTTGGCACTCTGTTTTTTTGCAGGTATGAATGTCCAAGTTTGCCGCCTTTTTTCATGGAAAGCTTGAATATCTGAAGCAGTTGCCTTACTGATTAGGCTCCAAAGACAAACTGGTAACAGAAATTGAAATCTAATCAAAAGCTGAACATACTACCATCGTTGTTTTAATCCTTACATACACAAGGAATAGTAATATTATTTTGCAGTTATATAAAACATTATCAATTATTCATTTTTGACAAATATTTAATTCATCTTATTTCTGTTGCAACTCTACATGAACAGGTAGGCTTCCCTAAAATAAGAGATGTGAATTTGAATCCAGTGATCATAGAATGGCCATCTGAGATGTGATAAAAAACAAGGAAAATAAGATGAAAGAAATACTAGTAAAAAAGTAGTAATACATGACAATGCTGCATTTAAGAAATTCAGATAATTTAAAACTATTACAACTAGGTGTAAAAGCAAGAGAAATAAGATGAAAAATATGTTAATGGCTGACAATGCTTCATCTTAGAAATTTAAAATTATATTACAGTAGGGGTGTCAAAATAGAACTCACGTCATTTTTGATTGAGAGTTCTTGCTCTATTTGAAATGTTGGTTAGACAGAATAAGAGTTTGAATTAAGGATGAAGTTATGGGAGGCAAGGTACTGCTTATGCTTTTTATACATTTTGTTGGTAAACATACATACACTTAAATCAGGTACCCCATTTATGTGCTTTGTTTTCATTTGGCCATGTGTAAAACCAAAATGTTCTTTTGGATATGATACTATAGGTACACAATTTCTTATTTGAAATGTTTGGTATCAGACACCTTTTGAAATTCAAACTTATTTTATTTCTGTAAGGTAATAGCATATTTATCCATTCGTCTCCTTTCCTTGAACCGAATGCTCATTGGTATCAACACCACGTTATATAATTGTTCTTGAGTGGGTTTATCAATAGTTGTTGAAATCTAGTGATTTTTAGACATAGTACTCATATTTAACCATCTTTGTACAGCTTCAGGTGGCTGAGTTTTGAATTTGTTGTTCTTTTAGACTCCTAGTATTCGTTTTCAAATTTTTAAAATTTGATCTTTCTTTTTGAATAACCCTGTGTGTGCGTGTGTGTGTATATATATATATATATATATATATATATATATATATATATATATATATATTATTCATTTCTTACTTGACTCAACAGTTGTATGTCTATTTGGGTATACCATTTCAAGAAATCTTCATGCATTATAATTGATAATGCCAAGCTTTTGTCTTGTTTATGGGGAGGCTTTTCTGGGCTCAATTCATAATACTGAATTTCATTTGTCCCAAAACTGTCTTTTTTGAAAACATTAATTCAAAGCTTTACTTTGTCGAATGGTTGACTTCACTGAAAAATCAAAATATAAAATTAAAGGGAGATAACTTTTATATCTGCATAGAGTTTTTTTAGCAAACACTTTATGAATTAATGTAGATGTTTTTTTTAAATATTTATTTATGCATATATTTCGGATAGGACAAATATTTAACTCTTTAGCATTCAACATGCTCCTTAAAGCTTGAAAGTTTTACTGTTTGCATGGCTTACTGCGTTATTTGTGATGATGTCATATATAGAAGACTATATATGGAGCGTTTTTTTAAAAAAATTCAATAAAATGTTAGGTGAACAAAAATACTACAATGCAAGATAAATTACGAAATAGTACATAAATAAACAAACACAAGTATCGAAAAGTTAATTTTCGAAAAAGAAAGCAGAAACAAAAACTGAAAAACCAGGATTTAAGCCTAAAATACTTAATTTTTGGGAGCTTCTGAAACATGTAATGTATATACTGTTTATCTACTTACATTATATATGTTATAAAGGTTGTCATAGCTGTGGCATGTGTCTAAAATAGCCTCTAACAATTAAGTCTAGCTGCAAGCCAGAGAATGGGTGAAGGCAGAAAACTGTTGTCTCATAACTAGATACTTCGGGTAAATGAAGCTTGAAACGGTAAGATGAAGCAGGAAGGTAGTCCATCTAGGGAAAAGAAAACCCTGATTTTAAACCTCTTCTGCCTCATGATCATATCCAAACACAGAAAAGGCTATAGAAGTAAATCCAGACAGAAAACCTAAAGTGGAGCCTCCAAAGGCTGTCAGCACTGTCAACTTTCCAGCAACTCCTTCAGCCAAACCGTCTGCAAATGTAATGCCATGCATTCCTATGGATCTTGTCGGTACTGACTAAAGGAGTGGGGCATGTAATCTGGGCAGCGCTTGGCCTCCATATATCATTGCCCAAGCCCTAGAGGTGTCACTCCAGTTTCACCACCTAAGGACTGAATTTTCATCAAACAGGATGCTACCTTTATCTCACAAGATAAACAGATGCGGATATGGCAAGTTGAACATAGCTGAGATTTATGGGGCTGGTTGAATGCTAATCGGTTAAATGAGTTGTTTTAGTTAAATTTTACTTGTTTTTAAATCTTCATAAAGTCAAAATATTAAGCAACATTATCACATGAATGAAGATTTCAGAGATGAATTTAAGGAAAAAAGGCATTTATTATTGAAAATGGACAAATTGACAGTATTTTTAAATGATCCATAATTTAAACAAAACCGTTATTCAGATATACGAATTCTATCCAAGTTTGTAGCATTAACTTCTGCACTAATACTGTTGGGAAAAGTAGGAATCCATCTCTTCTCTTCCTAGCTATGGGTTAAATAGCAGGGCCTACTGAGCTCCCTTACCTTGAGGTGGCAAGTTGTCTAAGAGAGAAAAAAATCTATCATTTCAAAATCAACCTGAAGAGGTTTGATCAGTTGTTTTCTATGGCTTATCAACCCATTGCAAGTTATTTAAAACAAAAATTTTTTTTGAGATAATAATTATTTATTAATACAAGTCATACTAATTCACCCATAGTCAAATTCCGAGCCATTATACATTACATCACCTGCACATCCACTTTTACAGCACTTGCTATTCCCAAGCAGCGACTCATCTAGGTACTGACCATTTTTGGCATTGCTTAACTTCAGTGATTGTAATAGAACCGGTGTTTCAATGTGATATGGTTGTAAGCCCATGTTAAAAAAATAAATACACTTAAATAAAAGATTGCGTAAGAAGTATTCTTCTTAGAAATGTTTTGTAGCAAAATGAATATTGGCTTTGTTTCCAAATTTCTGTGATGAGGAGTTACCATTATTTACATGCAGACTAATATTCCTTATCTTTGTTGTTGTTATCACAACATTTTGGCTGTTGTTGTCTCTGACTCATGAGGCAATAACCTAGTCGATTAAAGCGTTAATTCATGAATTTAAGGACTTAGTAATTGTGAGTTCAATCCCTGGACCAGACAGTGTATACTCAGTGAAAATTGGATGAGCAATAACTGAGCAGTACTAAATAAAAGCTAGATGAGATATCCTTAGACAAGGGCAGTGGATGAGAACTATCTTTCCCCTTAGATTAAATAAAGTATTTAGTTCAAAGTCCCTTTCAGGTTACCCAGATCAACAAAAACCTGATGAAGGTTGGAAGGTAGAACAGCCAAAGTATTGAGATAACAACAATGAAGATGAGGATAATAGTCTGCATGTAAATAACAAAAATATCAGCTTTGTTATTTACAATAAGTTGTCTCTAAATCTCTGGCAACAACTAAACTTATTTGATTAGTTTTAAATCCTTTTGAAAATGTAAATTTTTAACAAAGGTAAGATTTATTATAGTTTATTTAATATTAGATTAAAAAAAATTTAACAAAATCAGAGTAATTACAGGAACGATCTATGAAAAAATTTCAAGGAAAATATTTTGGACGAATTGGTGCATATTTAAAATTGGTCCTGTCTTGGTATATTTCATAGGGGTCGTCAGGAAAATATCTTTTTTTGAGCCAATAAGGTGTGACCATTCTATCCAAAAGCTGACTCTGTGTTTTATTACAAATCACAAAGTGTTGAAGTCGCCTGACTCTTTTGTTTGTTTTAGACCATTTTTTGTTTTCGCGACCAGATCTTGATCGTATCCAGAGTCCAGAACGAAGTCGATAAAAACGACTGAGCACAGCATAATTCGATTTGCCTTTTCCTTTTTTCTTGCTGCAGACAATTTTGGTTCTGATGCTGGTCTTCTGTGGTTTATGGCAGGGTTCCAAAAATTTCCTGAGAAAAATAAAAAGAATTTATACTCAACCACAAAAATCACAACAATTTTGTGAAATTCAAACTAATTAAAAAGGAAGATTAATTCTGGTCAAGATTACTTGTATCACTCTAAGTAAAGGCATGAATCCACTTTTTCCTGCACTATCTTATTGTTGGTCATTGGCAAAACACTGAAGGTAAACAGAAAAAGAGAGAGTGAATGAACAATCTCTCTTATTTTTATATAAGTCAGAGATTTTCCCTACATGACTGGTCACATGACACCTGGAGAGGAGATGGCACAAACAAGTAATATCGGCTAAACGTTGAAATTCCCAGGAAGGATAAAATGTTCAGTTCAGTATGGTGCCCAATGACCTTGGTAAAAAAAACTGTCATGACTTTAAGAAACTGGTCCACTAAAACATCAAATACAATATTTATAAACCAATCGGACTCAAGAAAATACTTAATCTTAATCACACCACTAAAATCACAGAAAATAAATCAGAAAGTCTGTTGTATTAGTCATCATGATTTAGGTAGATACTGCCGAAATATTGTGCGAATGTAGTAGAAATCGTACCATGTGGCTTTTTAGGGCCAATTAGGAATAAATAATTTAATTCTGGAACCGATTTTGTTACAAAAAAGTGTATAAAACACATGAGATTGTTTGAAACTGTGCTTATTGTTATATGTACACAAATTATTTTGTTTTTACAAAAGAACAAATAGACATTTTTATGTTTTAAGAAAAAATATTTTAAACAAGCAATAAGAATTATCTGGCAACAAGTGTTCATTTTTAAAACAAAGATTTGTGATTAAAGAACAAAAAGATATGTACATTTTTAATTAAAGTAGGTATTCCAAATTTAAAATTTTATTTTTTTATTTTTAATATTTTTTTTTATCAATTCATCCTAAACAATGTGATAATGTCACTAAGATGCAAGGGGCTAGTGGGAGTGAAAGAGAATGAGAAGATGTTAGAAGGAACCAGAAACACAATTCTAAACAGGAAACAAAGGATAACTCTCTCTTCCTGTAAAAAAAAAAAAAAAAAAAAACTGGGGAAGGAGTGTGAACTGGAAGATACGTTCACCTATCTATTCTTATTGAGGAAAAAAACATAAATAAAATAAAAAATAACATAGTAAATAAAATTTCAGAGTTTAGTTGGAGATGTTAGAAGTATAGAGTTGAAGTAGACTTTAGAAGTAACTGGAAAGCCAATCCTGAACAAAAAACAGAGGATAAACCTATACTCCTGTTCAAAAAACCAGAGAGGAATATGAATTGAATGATAGCCTATTCCTGTTCATTTTTTTTTAATAAAATGTGTCCAGTTTCATTTTTTTTCAAAAGAAAATGTAAATAAATTTTCAATTTAATCTCCAAATCTCAAGAATTAGAGAAAATATTGCCAGTCAGGAATGTAAACAAAATGAATGAGTAAACACTTTTTAAAAAACTTTATTTTAATTTTTTATGGACAAATTTAAAAATTTACATAAATTAATAAAAGTATATATTTGTTTATTCTTCATTTGAAATAAATTATTATTATACCCTAACGTTAAAAAAAAAAAAAAGATTAAAAAGACTTTTAAATATTGTAAAAATTAAAAGAACAAAAAAAAAACATGCAGGTATAAATGATGTAAGTAGTTTCAAATGTGACATTTGTGAACAAACTGCTCGTTTCCCATAACTATTCAGGGATTGATTTTACACTTTATCACTATTGTGAACAGCCCCCCCCTCTAAATCAGTATCTAATCCAGATTTTTTCAATTCTGACAAAGGTTGCAGCATAAGGAAGATCTAAAGAATGATAATCTATGAAAATTACTTCCAAAGATTTATCCCTATTTTTACGAGTGGATCGGTCTATTTAAGAAGTGCCACAAAATAATGATACAATCATTCTATTCTTTCAGTAATGCTTGAAATCATTTTTAACTGCTGACAATCCCTTTTTCTTTATTTGCAATGCATTTCTATGGCAAATCATTCTATAATATGATATATATATATAAACAGCCTTATTCTTTTAGTAATGCTTGAATTCATGTTTGACCACTGACAATGTTTTTTCTCATTAGCAATGCATTTGTATAGTAAATACAAAATAATAATTATACATACAAGTTCTATTTTGTCAGTAATGTTTGTATTCATTCCTGACCACTGAACTCTAAAACTGGAATATTAGTGTATGACAAAGTATGGTGGAGATTAAGGGTTCTTTTGTTAGTTAAAAAACAAACCATTACTATAAATTATAATTATACATATAACAGCTTTATTGTGTCAGTAATGTTTGTATTCCTGACTATTGACCTTTTATATATAATTTTCGATGCACAATATTCAGATTGTCTCTTGAAATTTGATAAGATAAATTTTACATCCAAAATTGCAAAATTTAGCCCTGAATCATTAAAGATTTGTCCTTTTTGCTAGGATATTTTGATTATGAATGTCAAAAGTAATGAAATTTAATGAAATCATTTTATATCTAGTCTTACTGACCCTTGGATTGTTGAGTTGGTAAAACAGCTGAATTGTCGAATTGGTAGAGTACATTGGAATTTCAAAGCAGATGTAGGTTTCAACAGATTGCTGTGTACAGTGGAAAATGTCTGAAAGGATTTGCAAAAGGCAGAGAGCGTTGTGGTTGTATTTGGAGAAAAACTCAAGTTCTGAGGCTTCATGACATTTCTAGTGAGCAGAGCCACACCTACAAAGAGAAAATTGAAATATGAAAAAAATATTAAAATCAATAGCATTAAAACTGTTCCTTTATAAAACATAAGCAATAAACAATTTTGAAAGATTTTCAGAAAAACCCAAACAAAATGAGTAATCAAAATTGCAGCTGTATGTTGCTTTAGAAATGCAATATTCAGATTTTAGCTTTATGTTCCATGCAAACTTGTCAATCATTATGAAAAATTTTGTATTATGTGCACAAAATTAGCTCACACATAGAAACAGGGCTGGTGCATACTACTCCTGAGCCCCTGATTGTGGGGAGGGCACAAGCCTGATTGGGAGCCCTGGGCAGTGCCTTATGACCTTCACTATGTTATCAGCATTTGCTTTTTTTCTACCTACATCTATATATATTAAAAATTATTCTATATATGTTATAAATTATATAACACCTTTTGCTGTCACCTACACATGTTTTAGTGGTCTTGCCCTTAGAATCTTAGAACATTTTAACCATGAGGCTAACTCTATGCTGCTTTCATTTCTCAATTCATTTTTACTAATGAAAATATAATTCCCATCTGCTTCTCTTTTCTCCAATGACATATGTTTTCCTAATTTCCCAAGAAAGAGATAAAGTTGCCATATTTTTGATAGATAAAAAAATAAAGTAAACTCTTGGTGTATCGTTCCAGTTCGTAGTTTCTTTACAGATTTTGATCATTTTGGAATTTTTTTCCATAAATTTTGAATAAAAAGATTTATTTTCAAATTTATTCCTTCATAAAATGGTGAATAATAAACATCACATTGTACTGGGTTTGCATATTTTTATAATCTTGTAAATAAACATTGCTGAGGGAGTCAAAGGTCTATACAGTCATCGTGGTGTCCAAGAAATAGCCATCATGTTGGCACACGTTTTTTTTTTTTTTTTTTGTTGGCACTCCAGTTTGTTCCTGACATTGAACACAAAGAACTTATCCATTTTCAAGAAACTGGACATCTCCAAATCACTGTTCATTTTTATTTCTTGTGCTAAATTAGAAGCTGATGTGTTAATGCACTTGATACATCTGAAAGAGAAATGAGAATACTAAAATTTAGTGCATGATACACCACATTATATTAGCCAGTTTTCCATTTATGGCTGACTGAAGGTGCATTCTCAGATATATAGGTAATACACACCTGTGCGTATGTGTGTGTGTATGTATGTAAAAATTCATATATAAATAAAAATATTTCTGTAAAAAGACAATGTGAATAAAGACAAAAGGAAAACTTTATTTACTGATGGGGTTCTGTTCTTTGATGTACTTTATCAAGACAAATGTAAGAACTTTATTTTGCAACAAGTATTTAAACAGAAGTAAAAATATTGTTAGGTTTTCATTTTCAAAATAAATGTAAGAACACTCATAAATATTCTTCAGGCTAAAAAGGAAAATGAATTTTTGATTGATTTGTTTTTTTGCAGGTTAAGCCAGAAAATATTTTTAGATTGTAAAAATTTTTTTGCAATAATAATCATTTACTGATAAAAGTCCTTCTAAACCCATATGGAGGTGGGGAGAAGAGACGAATTCATATCATTTATTTCCAAGAGGGTGTTTGCGCATGTGACTATAACGAACATGACTGAAATTAGAACTCGGCTCTCCGATTTCCAACTCCGAATCGTTTACTACCCACAAAACAAAGCTTAAAGCACCTGATATTCCCAAGCGGTCACTCATCTAGCTACTGACCAGGCTCAACGTTGCTTAACTTCGGTGATCGTACGAGAACTGGTGTTTCAATTTTTTAAGCCTTCATCAGGAAAAGAAAAAAAATTATTCAAAAAGAAAAAGATCCATGAAAATTCATTGATCAAATTAATAGGGAAGAATAGATGCTAATTTCCACAAATGTTTTTTTTAGACAACAAACACAATTGTTTTACTCACGCACACACACAAAAATACACTCAGTAATAAATTCTTTCCTTTCAAAATACTTTTCTATTGATTTTAGAAGCATTGTAAATTGTAAAAAAATTTTTAAAAAGCAATTTTTAAATGAATTTCTCAAAATTGAATATTTTCTTAACAATTAATTAGTGGCATCATTATTTTTTCAGATGGCACTTTTTCTTCAGAATTTATCAAGAAGTGTGTTGGACACGAAATACAGCTGAATGTAACAGTCATTTGAGAAAAAACTGATGAGGCCACTGGTCAAAACAAAAAGATAAAATCACTTTTACGTTGAACACAATATGAAGAAAAAAAACTGTTTAAAAAAGATGAGATTTTTGCGATAACAATAACCAACGTGAAATGGAATTTAAAAAAAAAAAAAGAAATCTTAAGTGTTACTGCTTTTAAGTTATAAATCTGATAGCGGCTAGATTAGTGGACCATCCAGGTAAACAAGGATTTTTTTATACTTTGACCAGCAACGATGCTAAGTTTGACACAAGGTCACATTAAATGTGGAGCCTGTAGGTGCACATGCAGGTAGTACAAGAAATTACCCAATTCCCTCGACATTTTTCTTTTTAGATGCTTCAGTCATCAGAGACTGACCGTTAAGTACAGTAGGGTGGGGACGACTCCTGGAACTCAACTTGAGTTAAATTTGCGCTTCGACCCCCACCCCCAAAAAAGAGATGAATAAGAAAACTCAGTGAGACTCAGAGTCGGAGCTTTACCTAAGAAGCAGGCAAGATCACATACATTGTCCGCCAGATTAGCTTATTAGCCATATCGCTACAGTAGTCGTTCAAGTGGTTATCTCGTAATAAATAGTTATTTGTTGGACTTTTTGTTTGTTTGCTTCGACTTACCTCGCCAACAAATCCTCAAAGACGCCATCACAGAAACAAAAATGACCTTTTTTGCTAAAGGGAGATAACTCGATTAATCACTTCCGGTCTTCCATGTAAACCGCTTCCTGTCGGTAACTCTGGCTGTAGCGATGTGGAAATATACTCAAGGAGTCCCTGCACAATTAAGGGTACGTTTAGATTCTATAATTCTAAGCACAGTCCTGTAGGTTTTTCCTAAAAGAATTATTTCTGTTTAATCCTTGGACATTCATTCCGTCCTGGTTGATGGATTTTGTCTTTAAAGTATAAGTATTTTAATTGTCACGTATTTAAACTTCGACCTTCATTGCAACATATCAAATCGACCCGGGATCACCTCTTTCGCTGCAAAGACTTTTTTTTTACTTTTAAAATACATTTTTTCCCCTTTTGGCAATTAATTATATAAATTTTATATATTTGGCTGTTTATTTGTGATTTGTTTATTATTTTGGGGACATCAAACTGGTTTTATTAACTTATCTATTTATGAAATATTAATAAATTAAAAATAGTTACAACTAGAAGTGAAAGAAATGTTTTAGTTGCGATATCGAAATGTTTTTTTCTTAGTGATTTTATGCGATAATCTGACTTTATAATATTTTTGTAAGAAAAAAATATTTTAGAATAATTAATAAAACGAATTGGTTATTGAAATGTGTATTTTTTATTAAAAAAAAATATGAAAGTCTTTAGGGAACACGCACGTTTTTTCCTAAATAAATTTACGCAGATTTCCAAAATATTTGAATATTTCTTTTAATGAAACGACTCTGAATTAAAAATAATCTTTCTTAAAAACTTTAATTTGATAAAAGATCATTGTTGTAAAATGTAAAGATGTTTTTCTTTTAATTTTCGTTTTCCTCTCGAATCTACGTGATATTTTTCTTCAAAAATGTGTTTTTTTTTTAGTTTTAAGAAAAACAAAAACGTAGATTGTTTTTTGCTTTTATTTAATCTTTTTTATTATAAAACTCCTTTTCCGAAATATTTTTTGTTTCATTTTTCTCAGCATTTTTGTTATGTATCGACAACTGTTTTCTGGATATTTATTTTTTTCGAGTATTAAGGATCCGAACTTAAATATCCAAAAATAATGTAGAAAATACTTTATTTCTTGGCTAAATAATATAAATATTCTTCTAATTTAAATAATAAAATACTTAGATTCGTATTCTCGATGTTTCATTCTAGCTTAACTTTCCCTTACAACTATTTTTTTTATCGGCTTAATAAACTAAAGGTGACATTTAACAAGTCGGTAGTTCTAATAAATGAATCTTTTCTTTTCCATTTACGATACTCGACCATTTCTCTACATAAAAAAAAGTTAATGTTTTCCAGGGTTTGATGTCTCAAATAATAATGTATTTTTTCATGCATGTTTTATTTGTCTCCAGCCCCGATAAACAGTTTACCTCAAAGACGGGTGGAACCTTTTTTAAGTTACCCTTGACTGGTAGATTACATGTTAAAAACTTAAAATTTTAAGTTTCTCAAACATTTTTTTAATTTAAATTTATTTTTATGATAAAACTTAGAAAGAAAAAACAAACAAACCAACCTTCTTTCCACCAAAGACACAAATTAGCATTGAAAAAAAAATGTTGAAAAAATGATTAATTACATTTTTGCCCCATCCGCCTTTTAATGAATTGAAATTGAAATCCTAATAATATTCTTGGGTTTATTTTGATTTCTACTTGGTGTGTGAAAAATGGTAGCAATTTTCCTCTGGGGCCGCTAATCAGAGTTCGAATCCAGATGTACCCGGTGCTTCCCCACTCTAACATTTAAATCTTTCAAGTTTTCTTTTCAGTATTTGTGTAAAAAAAAAAAAAAAAAAAAAATGTTTGCAAAACCTGTGATGTAATATTATTCAGTAATAATATCTGTATTCTTATATGGATTCTTTCTTCTTTTTTTTTTTTTTTTTTTTGGGATCGAGTTACCTTTCGTCTGAGGAATAATTCAGTTATCTCTTCTTTGAGAATGAAATTCTGTCAATTAGAACTAAAAACAGAATTGCTTTGTTTTGTTGAAGGATTTTTTCGGTCTTTGTCATAAATTGATTTATATTATTTTTTTTAAAATTTGGTTATTTATAGTTTTTTAGTCAAACAAAAAAAGTGTAGTAATTTAGAAATGAAGTTGTTTTTTTTTTTCTTTGAGAGAGAAAAAATGCAAACCCAAAACTACTTTTTCTTTACACTTTATTTTTCTACCTAAAGCAGAGAAAATAAACAGATATTAAGCACCAGGAATGGAACTTTCAACAAATAATTGACGTGCAAAAAAAGATTCTGGAATTTAGTTTGAATATTTTCATTCTTCTTGTAAAATGTAAATATTTAAAATTTCTAACTGGAGCTTGAACATGGTTTGAGCATTTTGTTTTTCCTGTCGGTAACTGTTCTATGCAATCAGGATACCCATAGGTCGAGCCTAGCACAATACCGAATAGGAAGTTTGTGTAGCATGTCTCACTCCAGATCATGCCAGTTTATACTTTGCGCTTGGTGTGAGTTCAAAGAAGCCAGGTGCATTGACAGGTTGGCCTGAAAAATAACTCTCCAGCCATCAAGTGCAGATTTTTGCACCACACAGGATGTCAATGTCTATCTCTATGAATAGACATGTGATAAACATGCATAAGAAAGAACTGTGTCTTGCAGATATGTAAACACCAACCCCAGATAGGTGCAATATCTCAGTCCAAGAGAGATAGATATCACACACAAGAAGAGTGTAAAGTTCACATTTGGAGAATGCTCAAAAGCCCCACACACCCATTGACATTGGTAATTGATGATATCAGGAGTTAAATGTAATAATGTATGAGTGACTCAGTCCTTTTGTTTTCGTTAACCTGCGCTATGATAATATTACAATACATTTGTCTTCCAACTTAGAGGGACTGTCTACATTTAAGTCAGTTTTTACTACCTACCAGTTACTGGTAGTAGTTATAAAGCCTACTCACCTACTTCATTCAGTGGTCCACTAAGCAGGCTTTATACCCTGATAAGCCAAAACAGGCTGGTGCAAGGGTCTTTTGCCCCTGCCTTCAATAATATGGGGGCCCTACTCTACTACATCACAATTTTCATAAGCTAGTATTCATATACAAATTTTACTGTAACCTAATTATGTATAATAATGAATCGTATGCAATATAGGTGAACAATTCAACTACAAAAATTGAAAAATATAATGTATCTAAATACAAATTAGAGACATGTCATAATATCTCATTCCACCTTAAATCAACAATGTTTTGCATAAATTTTTAACATTAAATAGAAATTTTTCTTGTTAAAAAGTTGAATAATTTTAATAGATTCAACATTATGGATGAATTTTATATAGTGTTATTTTTTTTTTTGACTTTGCATGCACAAAACAAATTCATGGATTTTGACCCTCCCCCCTCTGAATGATGTCAAAAATTAACAAAAATTTTACATCCTTTAATACTAATAGTCAATTGTGCTTAGGTTAATTTGTGACCTATATAAATTTAGGTAGAAAAAAAACAAAACAAATGTTGATAAGATAGTCACAAAGCACTGCTTGGGGACCTCTGGTCAGGGTGTTCAGGACTTGTATGCACCAGCCCCGAGCCAAAACATTCTGACCATCCTAGGGTATTGCTCATCTATATGATTATAATCCCCAGCATTGCTCTCATTTTGTCAATCTGACATTCACTCTCACTGTATGAAATTGCGTGTAGTTTATCTGGATCAACAAACACCTGATGAAGGCCAGTGGGCCCTATAACTGAAACATGATAATAACAAAGATGAGGACAATAGTCTGTGTGTAAATAATGATAAGCCCTCATCTCAGAAATGACGATAAATTAATAGTGAAATTTATGCTTTAAAATAGGATAACATGAACATAAGTTAAATAATAGTTTATTCCAAAATAAGCATAAAATTAAAAAAAAAAAATCTGCAATTATTTCTGCACTGGCCTAATAATATCAACTTGACATGATTTACCAGTTAATTTTCATTAATTAAAATTCACTGTTATTATTTTCTCGGCATTAAAGTTCTGTCAGAAACAGGACTGTGGAGTCAGAGTTGATAAAAGTAAACTGACTCTTACTCCAGTTGAATTTACACTTTATGTAAAAAGTCTTAGTTTATAGAATTTTTTGGTCATTAATTTTAACCCATCCAAAAAAAAAAATACCCATATGTAGTGCTATGGCCTACTTTTTATTACCTGAATATAGGTCTGTGTAGTTGGAGTCAGAAGCAATTAAGGGGTCACTGGAGTCAGAGTCGGTATAATTTTACAGACTCCCACTCCAGTTGAATTTACACTTTATGTAAAAATTCTTACATCATAGAATTTTTCTTTTCATTGATATTTCTTCTACTGTATTTTTACTATTTCCTTTAAATAAATTCATCTGAACTTCTTTTTTAATGTCATTTTATTTTTTGTAGTTATTTTGCGTTTGCAAAACTACATGTAAAAAAAAATCTTACATTATAGAATTTTTATTTTTATGTTTTTTACATCCTGTAAAAGATTATATTTCAACTTCTGTTATAAAGTAGTTTTATTTTTGTTCTGTACTTATTTCTTATTTGCAAAGATATATGCAAGTAAAAATCCATGGGTAAGTAATCTAAGTGAATCCTAATAATATAAAATATTAAAAATGATCCACAGAAGAGAGCTCAATGTATTTATTACAGAGCATATATAGATAAATTACATTAAGAATGAAAATTCAATACCCCATTTGTATGGCCATTTCACTCCCAAGGAAAAAAATTCTCTTCCGGCACTTGTCAACACTAAAAGGTTTGATAAAATAAAAAAATAATCAAATTATTTTTTTTATTTTATCAAACTGGCCATACAAATGGGGTATTGAATTTTCATTTTTATGCAATTTATCTAATATGTATATAAGTCTTACATTATAGCATTTTTATTTTTATTGTTATTTCTTCTATATCCTTTCAAAGATTTGTCTTTAACTCTGTTAGAAAATATTGAAGACTGAATAAGTATGATATAAAAGCCACAATATCTTTATTCTTTGATATAAACCAGTTCTAATGATATAGACCTACTCAAGTTAAAAGCTTATGCATAGTCTTTATGAGATTTG